GCAGCTGTGAGAGGGAGCCATGGGTACCACGACTTGGCTTTTAGGCACAGGGAGAACAATGAGGGACAACTCAGCTAGGATAGCAGGGACCATCACCCTCCTGGAAACTGTTCTGGAACTATCCAAAGCGAGAAAGAGGCTTCTCAAAATGCCAAGCAGTAACCCTCAGGGAAGGCAGCTGCTGTTCAGTCAGATACGTGTTGTTTTAGACCTTCCTCAATGACTGTTAATTCTGTTTCTTGCTCTGAAAAAAGGAAACAGTATCTTTTGTTTCCTTAACCCTGAAAGGCAGAGGAAGTTGAAGACTTTATTTATTCAACCCTAAGACATGGGAACTTACAGACCATTGTCACTTCCCAAGGAGCTTTTGTTTTCATTTTTCTCCTCAGCCTGTGTGTGTTCTGTTTGCCTTACAGATTTTTCACAGACGGTTTGCTACCAGCCTGGGACATCTGTGACTTGCTTGCACATGGCTGTCAGTTGAAGGGAGGTTCTTTGTAGCTGCATGCAAATAATCATGCTGCTTGATGGCAGAAAACACCCCAGTTTTGATCAAAAAGCCTTACCATCAGATCTGTTTTCCACCTTTTTAATTAGAACGTATATTATTTCAGAGCACTTTTGAAGTCCGTTATATCAGTATGATGATGGATGGCAAGAAGGAAAGGTGATGGAACTGCTCACGAATCTGAAACTGGCCAGCACAACAGAGCACATGGACTCTGCTGAAGTAGGCACTCCATTCCATTTCTGCCTTTGGGAGATTATTTTGCTGTTGGATTTCATGACAAAAAGCAACCCTCAGGAGAAGAGGGCTCCTTAAGAAGGTTAAGGAGGGTCAGGTTATTGAGGGTCACACAAACAGCTATCTCAAAGGCAGACTGAAGACAAGCCCGACTGGGCTCCATCAGACTAAAAACCTAACCAGAATATTTATAAAAAATTCAAAATTCTCTGTCATGGCTGCTAGTTCCAAGAAAATGAGCCTTACATTTCACCAGGGGCTTTCTCATCAGGTCTCTCACTTTTGTTTTGGCCTAGAGCACAGGCACCAATCCCCAGTTTAAAGAAAGAGAATGATGGAAAGACTTCCACATACAGGAAACTGTTTTGCACTGGGATCCTAAGAAGAAAAAAGGCCTTTTTGGTCTCTGTGTTGCTGCTAAGGCCACTGGTGAGTACACACCTGTACAGACACTTGGAGCTGCTCCTACCAAGAGCAAGTCCAAGCTGTGAGAGTCCCCCACCTAAACCCAGGGAGAAGTGCATTCCTGAAAGGGGCTTCTTGGGCCAAACACTGAACTGGCTCTCTGGCACTGCCTGTCCTCACTCCTGTGTGCTGCACAGAGCAGCAGTCCTGCTGGGCTGTGCTGGGCTGCAGGCATGCTGCAGACAGAGAAGGCTTGTGCTCAGGGTGGGGAGAGTGGCTCAGCTATGTTATTCTCTATAGGTTACTTGGATCCAAAGATCCATGTTGCAACCCGCGGCAGTTAAATAAATAGAGGGCTAATGGCAGATGGTTTCACTTAAACTTCAAGAAAGGCACCGCCTATATGTCAATTTGGAATTGGTGTAATGAGCCAACAACATTCTGAATTAAAATAAAAGAAAATTTAGGAATGAAACCTACTGGAGATTTAACTGGTCTCAAGTGCATAGTTAGATTTCTAAAGTAATAGCTGCAATCCAGCATAACAAACATGACTTGCTTGAAAACAAAAGCCTGAGTTAAACTGTAGATTGCAGTTCGTTTTCATTCCCATGAGAAACTGCAAGATATCTCTTCTTGGAGTAACTTCTCAGGAAGGCACACCAATGGTGCCTCCAAAACCACATAGAGCGGGACTAGGACTCCCCAGTTCTGCGTTTTTCCTTCCAGGTTTACCAATGCTGAGGTCCTTAGGTACCATCAGACAGATTTTCTATGAGTATTGCATGTGGTCACAAACGCTGGTGCTTTGACACTGGGCAGAGGCAGGTCAGAATTGGGCATGGCCAGCTGCAGGGGTCAAGGGCAGAGCTGTACCATGGGACAGCAGCCAGAAGGGACATGGCACAAGGGGAAAGGACTGCCAGAGCATCTGGGGAGGCAGAAAAGGAAGAGATGCCAGCAAGCATTGATTGTGAACTGGGGCATGGCCCAGCAAGCTTGGAAAGGGGCTACGACCAGGGAGGAAGAAGGAAAAGGGAGTAGGAGGTGGAGGATTAACATGTAACAATGTGTAACAAGTTCCCATACTTAAAAAAAAATAAACTTACACATATTTAACATATTAAACATATTTAAATAGGCAAACCTGTTTCTGTGCACCTGCACAGTGAGGATCTGGTTCTACCCTAATGCTCTCTGAGGGGCATGGGTGATTCAGGCTGACCGTGAGAAAGAGCACATGGCAAGTTACAAAGTAATGGCTGTTTTTACTCTTTTCCAGCATAGAGCAACTGAATACTTGAAAGCAAGTTTTTATCTGGAAAATTAATAACTTACTGCTATTGCCTTGTACAAGATCTCCTTTTAAACTTCGATCTTATTGACTGCACACACACGCATGTGCACATCAATTACAAGACTGTCTGCTGACATTTGTCACTACCTCGAAGCACAAGGACTGCCACCTTCCTCCCAGAAAAACTCTTCAGGCTGTAACCTTGACTCTGCTTAGCACACTCGTGAAAACCGCTGGATCACCCATGCAGAGCCATGTAGGACAGCAGTGGATAACTCATTCCACTCCGTACTCATTGTCCATACCTGTTCTCTGTCCCTGCAGCCAGTGGTGGGAATGGCTCAGGCCAGCTAAAGGCAGTCTCTAGTGGGCCTCAGAAGGCACCAGAACAATCTAAGTGTGACCAGAAAAGGATGACTGTCTGCTGGGAAAAGACTGTCCAAGTAGTTCAAAGGGTTGGTTCTCAAGTGCCCTTGTCAAGTATTTCATCTTTGGAAACAGTGTCATGGGTAAACTTTAGTACACAGTAAAACTTTAGTACACAGTAAAAGACCCCGCAGAAACAAGTTCTGAAAAAACTTCAAAACTTCAAAACAAAGACCCCTTCACTTGTATTCCTGTCATCTCCTCTGCCAGGGCTGTGGCAGTAAAAAGGAAGGGCAAGGAAGTGGCAGTAGAAAAGGTTTCCCTTCTTGCACAGAGATCTGGCTCAGGCACAAGGAAAGAGGGGACAAGTTCTTACACTCAAAGTTTTGCCAATTTCTCCAAAGGAGACTCGTCCTTTTCCAGCAGCCAACTCTCTGCAGGTGCACAAAGAATTAAGGTGGGCTTAAGACAGCTGGGAGGAAAGCTTTGTTATCAGCTAACTCCCAGATGCTTGTGCAGATCGTCTCCAGTCCGCAAAGAGGCAGAATAGGGTGGAGAAGCAATTTTCTCAAAGGACAGAAATGGCTTCTTCTCCAGACAGAACATTTTAGGGAATCATTTCCTATGGTTATCAATAGTCAAACTGAAAATTAAGCCAAGTTACCTACTGGCTCTTGTGTGTCTTGTAACTTTTTCCCCAACACCTGGCTGGGTGCCACAGAGGAATCCATGTTTGATGCCGTTGTTTACTTAATGCTATTCTTGTGTCTCATCTGTTTCGACATCTCTGCCCAAATCCCTGGACATTTTTTTTATTTCCTGGATTATGCTGATGTTCCAAAGAAAAAATCCCGAAGAACTGATGAAAATATAATTTCACAATGTTTCATTATTTATGGATAAGATTTGTCACTGGATTCTGATGCATATTTTCCAAATTATATTTACTCCAGCAAAAGAAAAGTTATTTCAAGTAAGAACAGGACTCAGTAAAATGTTAAGAAGAAATAATTTGTAATTTAGAAATAGTGTTTGTACTTCAGTGATAAAGTGCCCACTTGCATGTGATAATTCAGGTCAGCCAGAAAAGGATTTTTGTAACAGACATAAAAAGGGAGGTTCAGGCAGATAAATGCCAAAAATAATTCTGATACATCTAATAAAAATTCCCCTAGGACAGCTGTACAGATTATCACACTCGGCTGCACTGCATGGGAAAGGGCAATTATCAAAATGCTGAAAGCCTGAACTGATTCTTTTTTTCTTAGTTTATGGAAATTCGCATCAGCAGATAATGTTTTCAGCATGCTGGGATTTTACAATAACATTTGGGTTTATGATTCACATGTACTGTAAAACACAGATGTTTTAAAAAAGCATTATGTGCACAGTTGTTCAGAAAGTAAAGTTTACACTGCTCCAGGGTTCTCAATGCATTTGATGAATGTGGCAGTGACCCTGTGTCCCAACCTGGCAATTCCTCACCATCTGAATTGATACATTTGTGCAGGTCATGTCCTGTCTCTCGTGTGGGACTGAAATGCTGACCCAGAACATTTCTGTGCTCTAATGAGCCCGTGCCCCAGTGCAAAGCTGTTTTCTCTGCTGTCCTGCAGCATGGTAACGTGATGATTATTAATCCTGACCAGGCAGTGCTGAGAGGTCCCACTCACACTGAGTGTTGTATAACAGCGTGGTAAACAGCTGAGGAGGGCCAGGGAAGGCAGTCAGTATCCTAACAAACCAGCAAGGCCGAGGAATTTGCCCTGCTAAGCAAGCATAGGAGGAACCCAAACGAGGAGATGAGGACAGTCTCCATGGGCTCTGTGAGCCAGCAAGTTAGAGAGGTTAAATCCCATTCATGTAACCCTTAATCAGCTGGGTACAAATCACCAGGACTGGATGGCACCCTCCCCGTCCTTGAAGGAGCCAGAATGCACAACTGCTGGCCAAGTCCCCTCCTCTCCTCACAGTCTGGGTGACCAAGCATGGGAGATTTGCCAGTACTCCAGCTCCAACGGGGACCCTGGCAACTAAACCTCAGTAATGATCGGTTTAACTTCTTTTGCAAAGCTATAATGAAAGACATTTGGCCTAAGTTTGCTTTTCATGTAGGAGTCAGTCACATCTCTTTGAATCTGTTCTGAAACTGTTCCCTTATCGTTCCCTTTCTTCTTTTGCACTTACCATTTATGTTTACAGCTGGCAGCACTATAGACATTTTTGGTCTCCTGGTCTTGTTATGTGTGGTGGCTGGCAGTAGCAGGTGGTCCTGGAAAACAGCAGAAAAGATGTGTTAAATCTACTCTCAAAGCAGAGAGCTGGGAAAATGCCTTTCCACTCTCTCTTGCTGGCATTCCACACTGAACTGTTTACAACAGCTCAGAAAATTCATATTGTTGAGGGAGTCTTCCAAAAGTCACAGCAATTGCTCATGCTGTGTAACCAAGAAGAAATCCCTATTGCATGAAGCAGAATATGAAAAAGCCTTGATCATGCGGAAAGAGATGGAAACTACTATTAAGCCCTCATTCAACAGAGTGCTTATGTATATGATTAAAGTAATTTAACTTGACTTCAATGATATTTAAACATATGTTTAAGGACCTTGCTGAATTGAAGCTTTTACTTGCACAGCTGTTTACTTTCTATGTAAGCTGTCTTGCTGTCTCTGTGAAGCTCTACACCACATGCCTCGTGCAGCAGGACTGCACTGCTCAGAGCGGGGCTGGGGTGTGAAACACAAGCTCTGCTGACAACACCTTCCAGGGAAGCTGGATGGTGAAGATGTGCTTCGGCACCTGATCTCTCCTGGGCGCTGCTGTAAGGCAGCAGTAAGTGTCCTGGCTCTGACAGTGGAAGCTGCGTCTGCAGGAAACAGACCTGCTCTGGATACAGACCTGGCCTGCAAGGAGGAACACAGCCTTTCTTCAGGGTTCTTTTGCTGATGCTGAACTCAAGCTGCTTAACTTGCAGCCTAGAAAAATATGGTTCTTCCCTTATCAATGGAACTTAAAAGCTCCGATCCAGGCATCTCCCATATTATTAAGCCAGTTTGATGCTCTCCTTTCATGCTTTCCCATGCTTTTCCCATACAAATATCTCATACTTTTGGGCAAGGTTATCTTTTTGGCAAACTGAATTAGACTTCCTTCAGGATACATTAATTTATTCATGTCAGGGTAACTGCAATTTTGCCATTTTAAAATATAAACACTACAGTGTTATATGTAAGATCTGGGGAACTGAGTTACACACAAAGTTAGGTGTTAAATATGTCAAGATATTCTGTAGATACATTGCAGTAATATCACCTTCTTTCTCTTTTTTTCCCATCAAAAATTTCCCTCCCCCAAAACACCAAACGACACACAGAATGAGAAGAAAACATTACTTAAATAAATGTCTGTAAAAAACATCTTGGTAACCAAAATTACAAAGCCACTCTGGTATAATTCTCAGATCACACATGTAATTCCCATTTCACTTTTGAACCGCTTAAGATTAAGACAACATTCACTAAGACAATGAACCGTACATGAAAACTCTTCTTGAAATCCAACATTCCCAAAGGAATAGGCCTAAGATAAGATGTCCATTAAATTACATTTTGTAACAATGCCCTTGCCACAACTTGATGACTATTTTTAGCAGACCTTAAGAAATGCTTATACTGTTTGGGTTTTTTTTTCCTTTTTCAATGCTTCTTAGAGTCCATCACTACCCACTAAACCACAAGTACTGCACAGAAGATCACCTGAGAGTCATTACAAGTAGCAACTGCTTTTTGCTAACCTATCTGAAGACTGATGCATTAATATATGCTGCCTTATAATGGCACCTTTATTTACTGTATATAAAAATTGTATTAAGAGATACCACAAGGATTTTACAGTTGCATTCAAACGTGCTTTGGAGTTGCTGCACAACCTCCCAGTGATTCAACACCAACTCTGGAGAAAACAAACAAAAAGCTCTAAACCCAGATTGCCACCAGGAGCTAATGTGCAAGACGCACACATTGTCTGGAAGCTGCCCGTCTACAAAGAGACATTTTACAAATCTGGAACTGGTGAAATTTATCCATCTCTCTAATCATTTTGATCTTTCATATGCATTGAGGCAATCAGTGCAAACTTGCAAAGTTACCTAACTACCCTCATTCTTCACTGAAGTCAAAGGGTATGCTGTAGAATATCAGATATTCTGACCAGAGGTAGCAACCCACAACATTCTCAAGCCCAAAAGTCTTCAAGTAGTCCGAACCTTTTATTTGAAAGCAAAACATAATTAATTCTATGCCACAGAAATGAGTGTACAGATCAGTGATTTGGAAGATATCAGACATTTAGAAGCACTGTTTGAATGCATTTCTAAAATGTCCTGTGCCATTCTGAAGAATGCTGAATTGCACCCCAGAGGGGGCTGTGACACTATCACTCATCCCTAAGTTTAAACAGTAGACAAAAAAAAAAAAACAACAACCCAAATCTAAATTAAAATACTGTTTGTGATATTAACACATGGTATAAAACTGAAAATTAATAAAAACAAATTTTGCAAGTCAGCATCTGGCTCAGGAGTATGAGTGTCAACCAGAGGCAGAATAAATCAGAACTATTACCCAACAACAGATGGCTTTGGCTTGGAGCAGGAACTGCACTTAAGACGACAGTTTAAATAGACAAAGCAGACCTGAGACTGCTGGCAGAATCACTGGAAAAATATCAGCCTGGAAAGAATATTTCAAATGAGATCCTTGCTTCAGCATTCTCATTTTGGTTTTGATCATCTCTGCAATTCTGTGATACTGAAGCCAGATGAGATGGACAGATAGATATAGACACAGATACTAAAAATCCAGCCACAAACACGTTACCTTAATTTAATAAGTCTCAACAACACATGGGACTGCAATAAGGATTCTGAGGTTTCTTGTGTATCAGATCAGTGTTATCAGGGCTCCAGCAGGGATAAAGCTTTAGAGCCTCATGTATCTCTAACCCGACAGCCAAATGGCAATGGAAATCCTGTCCCACTGTGCTAGAATATTCCAAAAGTCCTGCTGCTCCTGCAGCTTCAGCCTCAGTCTCATGACATGTGGTTTGGTACCCAAAATCCCTCCTACCTAGATGCATGAATATATGGAGACGTTTTAGCTTTCATTCTCATTTTTTTGTTAAAAAATTGGTTTCAACTCTCATAGTTTTAAGGATGTAAACAAAACATCATCACTGCATACCATGAGGTTTCATTAAACAGAGGAAAAAAATGCTAGGCATGGGTCTTTTTGATTTAGTTTTGTTTCTTAAACTATCACCACTTCTAAGCTGGACTCTTGGCTTTTAAATTAACAGAACTGGCAATAGTGCTTGTTTTGGCTTTTGCAATGCATATTCCATCAGCCACAGCACCTCCCAGGGAGCAGCCCTGCACCTCCTCCATTCCCGCTTCATTGTGTGACAGAAACACATAGGAATTAATCCTCGCAGTAAGCCCACGACAGAGGAAAATATTCCAGGGAACGTTTGGAGGAGAGGTGCAGGCATTTCAGGGAAGCCCACATGACACGGGACACAAAGGAGCTGATTTCCAGCCCCGCAAGGCGCTGCACTCTCAGCATGAGCTGTCTTTCCTCCTGTCCCAGGGGTTTCTCTCTGTCAAATCAATTCCCCCAGATTTTTCTTACCTTCTTAGTTGTTGCGCTTAGGTATGGATAAGTATTTTTCAAAAGGCTTTTCTGAGGTCTTAATTAAGGACACTTGATTGAGATGTGCTTTGTTAGAGCACATTTAGCACATCTGCCCATGTGAACTCTGCTGGTCATGCTGCTGCCGAGCCCCGGACCCCTCCGGGCGGCTGGGAGCACGTACCCTGCAAAGTACAGATGTGATCCATGCGGGAGCCAAGGCTCCAGGAACACAGCCCCCACCCGACTTCCCACAAAGACTTTGTCAAGACGTCCCAGTGAGCCCTGCTCTTCATTAAGAGCTTCATCTCTGACAAACCAAGGATAACCTTTAGCAAAAACAAGCGACATTTGCTGCTTTACTAAAAGCTCAGAGGAGACTGGATTAAAATACCAAAGGAAAACTTTAATGTGCTACTCTGGTAATTTGCCTTGATGAGGAGATTTGATCTTTACCATGGCCTTGGAGACCTACTCTGTGCTAGAATGTTGCAACAAAGGCAGTTGCCAGAGTAGAGGGGGCAAGGGGAGCCAGGAGTGCCAAAGGGCGCTCTGTCATTCCATCCAGCAGCTTCCCAAGGCTTCTTACAGCAAACAAGCACTGGAGCTGGGCATTTTTTCATCTCTGTTTATGACTAAGAAGTCTCCCAGGGAATTGTGTGCCTCAACCTCTTCCAGCCTGAATCTTCCCGCTGTGGTTGCAGGACCACATTACAGCCGCTGCTGACCTGGGCTGAGCTGATGCCTCAGGTTTTAGCTTTTATATTTTTCGTATTCTGTACTGCTTTAGTGTGTAGTTCTGAGCTTCCTCTCTTCACAGAGCAGCTAGACAAAACAACTCCTTCCCTAGCTTGGGACCAGGGACAATGACCCAAATCTCAGGCCCAAGAGCACAAACAATGTGGGCTGAAGAGAAAAAAACAAGAAGGATGGGACTTCCATAACCTAAAGCTGGAACTGGACAATTAACTTCAATATGCTAATGGACCAGAACTTACAAAGTGAGAGACCTCATGACCAGTCATCCATTTTTGTGACCATTTTGGGTTCACCTGCAGTGTAGCCCTGGCTGGGCTCTTGTGCTGCCCAAGGCGGATCTATTGAGGCCTTTCAATAAATCCCTGCTTTAGCTCTGTCTAGCCTCTGTTCTAGGTCAGCCTTCACAAGGCATCAGAGGAGCCCCCCACATCCCACGGAGGGGCTGTTTTTCTTTAATGGCACAACTTCTGGCAGTCTTCAACACCTCCTGACAGCTTAAAACCTTATCTGCTCACTATCTGACCACACCCAGTGAGTGATCTCAAGATGAAGCAGATAGAAAACAAGTGCTTTGTGCCTCAAATCCATGCACTGTCTTTTGACCCTATTTTTTCTGAACAACTTCAGGGATTTAGAGCCTGACACGACACTGGACCTTCTTTACAGGTATGCTTTAGACAATACAAAGAATGTGCAACAAAAACATGCTCTACCAGGCCCAAAATACTGCATGCCACTTCAGAGAGAGAGACTGATTCATAGTACAAATACTCCAAGGAACTAGACTTCTTAAACCCCTGAGTTGACAGAGCCCCTGAGCCAGC